CAAATTCTTTCGATTTCTAGAATTTCATTACCATTTTCGGAGATTTTCTTTAACATTGTGATTCTTTTCATAATATCTGTAAACTTTTTTGGGTAAGTACGTATTCATATAGTAATTGTATCTATGCTGTTGAGTGGACCAAAGAACGGGAATTATTTTCAATGACAAAAATGTGCAATCGGTACAGGATTCCGACGAAAGTAAGATTTGGATGTGTGGCCGACAGATTTTACTGTCCAAAATCTACTTCTTGCCCTACGGTATCTATATCCAATGGCACTTTTTTTGAAGAATGTCGTAATCCCTTCCCAAAAGTGCCTCGGTTAGTTTTTTCCAATAGCACATTATAATTCATTTCTTTTTAGTATGTTTGTACTTGAAGAATTATTGAATAAGATTAATGATTGTATTTTAACCAGTATAAATATGAAAAAAAAATGTTCACCAATTCAAATCTGACGATTATGATGCTTGAGAAAATTGTAATTGCAACTTATTGACCTTTTTGCAGACTTATGTATGCTTTCACGAGAGGGTGGAGCTATAAAGACACTGCCAAGAAATAGATAATCCTGGTACCGAACATCTTGTTCCACCTACCATTGCGTTCTAGTATGCTAGCTATGAATTTATTTAAGTATATCTATGTTACAAGATACATTTATTCGTTACAAATATTGCCGAGAAATGACTGTTGATCATTTTTCAAAAATAACACTAGACGATGTTGTTGGGTGGTCCTGGCACAGTGGTCCAAATCGACGAATCCAAGTTTGGCAAGCGCAAGCACAATCGAGGCCACTGGGTACTAGGGATTATCGAAAAATCAGGTAGAGAAGATGTCAGGATGGTGGAGGTGTCAGAACGGAATGCCGAGGCGCTCTTCCCCCATAATTCAACATGTTGGTCCCGGATCTGAGATCTATATGGATATGTGGAGGGTATATAATGGATGGAGCGCCGCAGGGTATGTTCACAAGGTTGTGAACCATTCTGACCTCGAAAACCGCTTTGCTGGTAAGTTATTTACATTTGTTTATTCTACCAAGATATGTACCTATATACATACACAATGTTTCAAATTTATCTTTCAACTCCTGAGGTCACCAACACCCAGCGCATAGAGGCGACCTGGAGGCCAGTGCCTGTCGAAGAATTTGTAGACGCTCTCTGCAAATATCTTTGGCGTAGGTACTGTCACGTTCGCGGAACTGATCTTTTCGCGTTTTTATTCGAGGCAATTAGATCCGATTATCAGTTCTAAATGCTTTTAATAAAAAAGCAAAAATCGCCTTTTTCAAGGAGAATCCATAAGGATGAGTTACTGAAGGGATTGGAGAGTGATTATCGGTCGCGTCCAAGTGGTGCTCCCTGGAAATACTATATGGTGGCTAAGTGATCGATAAATAACTATTATGTATTTTTATATGCAACTTCTGTTGGTACTACCTCCTTGTTTTTTCAAATCTCACGAGCTGCTGGTAAATTTTCCACTGTTTATGCACATACTACTCAAAATTTTACCTAATTTTCAGTAAATATTGGGCTAACTACTTAGAGAACAAGCCATTTTCATAACACATTTATTTTTCAAATAACTTCATTTTTGATTTACGTATTGCTCCCAACAAAACGTACAATTTAGCAACGATGGACAACATTTCTCTTATCTGTCAAGAAATGAAAGTCTTAATATGACAGTTGAGAATTGTTTCTACCAGTTTCTACTTTCAAACATTTATTATAAGCGCAAAAACTACAATGTTTTTGAAGGATCTTAAAAAAACCCTAAGAGGCTTCAAGAAAACAGTGTAAAACTTTTAACACAACACCTCTCTAAAGTTTACCCAGAAGAAACCATCATTTGAGGTATGTATTTGGAACTGTCATTTTAGCTTATTATAAGGCTAGTTTTTAACCTTTTTCTTTTAAAAACCAACGATCCTTTACATTTCACATCTATTTTCCTTAGTACTATACAGTTTATGTTATATCCTTACAATTTCGAGCATCCTTTTGTGCAAAACGCCAAAAAAAAAACAGCGTATTCTAGATTATTATCACCAAAAATGCATCTTTGAAGTTCTATAAAATAGCAAGCAGAGGGTTCCTTAAAGAAAAAATGATATTTTCGTCAACGTTACATCCTAATCTTTCATTTTAAAATAAGAAATGAAATATTTGCGATATGCACTAAAGTATAGTCTTACCAAAAATTTGGCTTGTTTCAAATACTTTTCAGTGTTATTGTTAGGTATACAATCCTGTTAACGAACTTTAGATACGGACTGAACACTTAAAGAAGCAAGAAGTGGACTAAAATAAATCAAAATTACCCCTCATAACTGTCCAGGTAAAAGCCATATGTTGAGATACATGCCATTTTGCAACGCCCATAATATATTACTAATACTTATCGATCGACTATTCAGTTTAGACGGCTTTTTCTATTCGTCAGAAACCTTCACCATTTTTGACATTTGTCTGAAACACAAGAATTGTATGAAACCCACTCACTTTTATACGTTTCCGCAGAAAATGCGAATTTAACATAAAATGTTAAGTGTCAAGTATCAAACTGACGCCTTAGGCAGGATCGACTTATAGAACTTTCATCCGAACTGCAGACTCTGACATTTTAGAGACAAATCAAAGGCTACGAAGCTGTAGATCGAATACATCATGCAGAGTAAGATGTCGTTAATTAATTAACTAAAACAAGTGACACCCCCGTTGACACTGTACTGTGAGATCAGGAGAGAATACCTCTGTCAGCTACCCCTCTGGGATAGCCATAGAGCGGAGGATTGGATGTACACCTACACATGTTGTAATACTAGGGAATATTTAAGTTACAGTTTATTAGTAAATGTGCTATTTTTATTTGCTTTTAAAATTGTTTCTGAGTCCGGAACTGGACTTATGGGATATTACGGCGATCAACGGTGTACAAACTGTCGGCTTTTTTATCTGTTCTCATCAAATAGCTATAAATAGAGTTCGGAGAATGGTGCGAACCGTGGAAGCTATGATGAGAAATTTCTGTAGTAATTATTCTACTGTTAGTTTTTCCTACCAGATTTATGCGGTCTCTCTTTCCTCTCTTCAATGGTGAAGTTTTCAAAAGATTCTCTTGTTAGTGCTTGAATTACCTCAGTTCGTCTTTTCACATGCAGGATGAAAATTCAGCCTGTTTTCGGTAGATAGCTCCATTATAGAATATATCTTAAAAAATTAGTAGCAAAAATTGTACGAAACTATGCCTGACTTGGGACATATACTACCGAGAAGATGGTTAATAACTCGGTAGCAAATGGAATACTCTGTTTATTTTGTCCCTGATTTTGGCATGTTCTGAAAGGCCTCTTGAAAGTAAGAAGCTTGATATAGCGAACTATGAGATTTGGATAACTACTTCTAGAGCCACGAGATACTTTGAAAAATCGTTCACATCAGTCACTTTGGATAGAGTCGGAAACGTCAAAATAAGCTTCGTATCCCCGAGTATCTCGTTATTTATAAGATTTTTTAAATGTTGTGCCTTTACAATTGTATATAACTGCAAAATCAACTTCTCTATAAGAAGTGCAAATGGACTAACTGTACAATTTTACGGTTTTTGGGTCTTCTTATAAGGTTAATTTTTAATTTTGAATCGCAAAGTAAATTTTGCGATGATATGAAAGACCCGGAACATATATGTTGTCAAACATCAGTGCATTTATAAATGTTCTTAATTAACATCAAAACTGGCAACAAAAGCTGTCAGAAGAGGAAATAGAAACACATTGTTACTGGTTATATTCCTGCGTTCCCGAGGCATGGTGACCTGGTGGCTTACCCGATCCAATCTAGCTTCACACTCTGCACTAGGGTAGTGTTTCCCTGCTGGTACTATACAAAACTGCTTTGGTTTCAGTCTGAGCTCATCAGAGAGTTGCTGTCTCTTGTAATGTCGAAACTGTTCCTCTATTACAATGTCTGCTTTGAGATCTCCATCATAACAACTCTTGTTTGTGCAGGCATTTTTTTTTCAACAGATACCAAACTTGATGTCGGCCCTTGAGTCTATAGATAATTTGAGGTGTGTTCCTTATTTCATAAATAATATCGTACCTAGGAACGTACCGACAGATCTAGGGTTTTGCTAATATGGTAAACAGAAAGATATCCATACATTTGTTTGAATTCCCAAACCGTCAGTTTTCAGAGAATCACCTCTGCACCCACAATGCAATCAGGCGATAATCTTACCAAACCCTGCTTCAGTACGCCCACAATACAATATGGGCATAGTCCACCTAATCTCCAATTATTGGATCGTAGGTCACATATCAATATGAATTAATTACCAACTCTCGTGTATACCTGTATATCCGTTTTAGGTATGGGTTGGCCTATTCAGTTGTCCGCCATTCACAGAAGCAATTATCGTTTGGCCAGCTGCTATCTCTGCACTATGAGAGAATAGCGGTAATGTCGGTCATCTATGCGTGTTATTTATAAGGGCGTTTGCAGACCAAGGAACATGAAACATGCAGCGTGCATGGTAGGTAGGGCAAATAGAAATATGAAAAACTTTTGTTTCCCCCTCAGCAGTCGATGACATAATTATTATAATTGTGAGGGAATCCTGATATCTCTACTATATGAATTAAAATTTTATTATAAATCTTATAAATGAGAAAGTATAGATGTTACTCAATCATAATTTTTTTCAGACAAACATTCCATTGACTTATCGTATATCACTTTGTGATCCGCAGGATGAATAAATTATTATTATTATTATTATTATTATTATTATTATTACTATTTTCAACAAGCTAGCGGCCTTCGGATGTTACTGTAATCCAAACAGTAAGCTGGTTGGATGGTCTAAGCTATTATGTATCCATCGAAGAAAGAGACCAAACCTAAACATATTCACGTATACTTCACGTGATCGCGCTCCAGCACGCAGAGCACGTTACAGGGCCGTACTAAGAGTAAATGCATGGAATTAATTTATTTTTTTAACCTGTTAAGTGGTTAAGACGTATATATCCGCAAACCCATATATTACAATCAATGCTTATGACGGATATTCTCGCTTCGGCTATTTTTTGGTAGCCCGCAATGGTTAAGACGTATACGTTCGCCTGCTGTAGTTTACTGGTAAACAAAATCCTAATTCAACTACGCGGCGGAATTATTTTGTGGAATCTCTTCCCGCTCAGTCGTTATTTGGGCGTGTTACCGTGTGGCTGATTACGACATTATTACGTTTAGTATTCCACTACGTTTGTGCAGGAAAAGGAAGTGTTCTTGAATATATATACAAAATGTCTAATTTAGAAGACAATGACTCTGAAGATATTGATATTAGTGGCGACGAGGCGGACGAGGTGGATGGTTATACAAGTTCGGACGAGACAGAGGGCGAATCGGAATATGAGGACAGTGGAGAAGATACTAATGATGAGACGGAGCCTGAGCCCGAACCTGACTTTGAAATGCCCTGGACTCAAAATGGAATCCCCAGACCAGCATTTCCTTTTACATCGAACAGTGGCGTGCAGGTACCTGCTAAAAGCAACCCTTTGGACATTTTTGAAATTTTTTTTGATGAAAGTCTAATAAACCTTATAGTTGAAGAAACCAATCGATTTGCTATCCAATATATTATAAAAAATGGAGAAAACATAAGACCGCACTCTAGAGTACGCCAATGGAAAGAAACGAATACCAACGAAATTAGGACGCTTATAGGCCTATTGATATTACAGGGATTATGTCCTAAGCCTGAATACAAAATGTATTTCTCTCGGAGAGAGAGCATAGAAACTCCATTTTTTTCGAAAATTATTTCCGAGAAAAGATTTCACTTGTTATTGAAATTTTTGCATTTTGTTGATAATTCAACAATAAATGCCAACACAAAAAATCGCAAACTTGCCAAAGTACTTCCACTTCTAAACCATTTAAGGGAGAAATTTATGACCAGTTATGTGCCAGAAAGGGACATCGCGATAGACGAGTCTCTGATTGGCTGGAAAGGGAGATTGGGCTGGAAACAATACATACCTTCTAAACGAAAGAGGTTTGGCATCAAACTATTCGCTTTATGTGAAACTTCTGGTTATATGTATAATTTTATCATCTATACAGGTGCTGATACGATTTATGAAGCACAGCATTCTCAGGAACCAGTTACATCAAGGATAGTTTTATCCCTTGTTGATTCGCTACTTGACAAAGGGTATCGACTTTTTCTAGACAATTACTACACAAGTGTTGACTTGGTTCACAAATTAGTAAAACGAAGAACAGACTGTGTGGGAACAATTCGAGCAAACAGAAAAGGTATCCCTAAAGATTTACAAGTGAAATTATCTAAAGGACAGTCTGTTGCTAGATACAATAGAAAAATTATGATACAAAAATGGCATGACAAGAAGGATGTTTTAATGATATCTACCCTTCACGATAAAACTATGGAAAAGGTCTTAACTAAAAAGGGTGAAATTGAGAAACCCACTTGTGTACTAGAGTACAATAAAAAAATGGGCGGGGTGGACTTAGCCGATAATTATTTGCACTACTATGGAACGGCAAGGAGTAGAGTAAAAAAATACTACATGAAAATGTTCTGGCACTTTTTGAGTGTAACAACGCTAAACTCATTTCATATATACAAACGAAATGGAGGCCGACTGAAAAGGATAAATTTTTTGTTAGAATTGGGAGAACAAATAGTTAGAAAATATAGCTCACAAATAACTTTCGGAACAAGGAGATCAAGGGCACCAATGCCATCAAGATTTATTGAACGTCACTTTCCGTCGGTTATACCACCTACTACGAAACAAAAACCAACAAAAAGGTAAGCTATTGTATCACAGAAGGCATTTTTTTTAAATCAGTTTTTTAGGTGTGCAATATGTGCTGAAAAGAAAATCAGAAAGGAAAGCCGTTACTGGTGCCAAAAATGCCATACTGGTCTGTGTCCCGCACCGTGTTTTGAGATTTTCCATACCAAGTAACAAAAAAGCTACAAAAATAAGTAAGTTTTAATTTATTCTTTATCTATCATTTTAACAGCAACTCTTCTTACTAGGTATGAAGAATGGAATGAGAAAACTGGTGCACCTTCAATGCAATGTTATAAGTTAGCCTTCACCTTTACTTTTCTTTAGATACCAGTTCAATATTTTTATGTTGTTTTGACGATAATATACGCCTTTCAGTTTTATTGTCGAATTTTAATGCTATTGACGTATATATACGCTAGTGAATATAGTCAGTGCTGATGACGGATATGTCCGCATGCGATAAAATTACGGGCCATCTAGAAAAGCCTATGGTTGTTTATCCTGGGCCACTTAACAGGTTAACTTAACTGTCATGACCAAAAAGAAAACAACTGTCTATTGTTGTTTTTAGTAGAAGCGTTTTACCAAGAAATTATACTAGAAATGTGTCGTAAGGCGCATTTATAAAGCAGGCTTTTGAATAATGTCTTGACACATTGAAACGATAATTGCATGTGCATACAAGTATACCTATACCTAATAAAGAGGATAATAATAATATATAGATACTAAATATTATACAAAAATTTATTGCACAGACATTTTACCTCTAAAACCGGAAATACATATATTTGAAAATAGAAATCATTCTAGATCTGAGGCCGTGGAACTCCCACTGTCATCAAGATTTATTATTGAAGGGACAATGTGAGTACATATCAATGATACCGCGTAATTCCCACATTTCAACCTCTGTATCATCATAATCAATTTTTTTATTTAGCGCTGTTGGAATTTTCTCTAATTTTCTCGTGTGGAATGGAGCATTACCTAATACTATAAACGAATTATCTTCAAGCTTCGCTAGAGAAAAATAATTCATTATGGACACTTTAAAACCGCTCCTATTGCAAACATTAAAGACCCCACAAAATAATTGCTTGATTTCTTATCTCTATATAGTTTAAGCATGTATAAAAACAAAAATAAAATATAATTTTAGTTGAAACTCCTCGACTTACAAGTATTGAAAAATATGTAGCTGTCAGCTTTGCAAACAATGCCCTCAACAATTGCGTCACTCCTTCCTTGTATTTCGTATTTATAAATGTTGATAATTATTTTTTTTTTCGCTAACTCTAAAATGAAGCCTTTTAGCTCTTTTTTTAGACGCTGTGCAGCTAATATCAACAACTTCATTAGCGGTATCCGTATCAGACATTTTTAGTTCTACAAAATTAAACTGACAAAAAGCACACAGTAATACCAGTATAAATCTGATGCCAACTCTGTACTGTAAGGCCAGCCACCGCGCCAGCCGGCATGCACGGTCGTATCGTCTCCCACTCCACCCTCTGGTTTGTCATTGGTTTTGTGTAAGGGCTCGACCTATTCTGCCCAATAACAGTTATGCTCCCTCTCTCTTGAAATATATCGCGCAATAATCACGCAATGATCACTGTTTTGGTTTAGTCTCTTTCTTCGACATATACATGATAGCTGCCCATTTCTCAGACGCGTCCCAAACAATGGCGATGTGCGGCTGAGAACATCTAAAGCAATGCATCATGGGCCCTCACAATTTTCATTGAGACAAACAATACGGCTTTGTGCATCTTATATGTTATATGCCAGAGAGGTACTTTGAGCTTTGCAAGCCGTGATTTCATTTAGCTGCTCAATGAAGGTATCGATCATGCCTCCAAGATAACCGATTATCAATACAATTAGTTGAGCAACATAGCCAGGATACATGCTGTGCAGCTCGTATAATAGGTACCGATATTTGTCTTTCTTTTCTCTTTCTTTGAGTATGACATTTTTGTCTGCAGGACTCTAGAGAATTCTATGACAAAGATATGTTTCTTTTCTTTGTCGGCACGGTCAGATCTGGCTTATTAGTATTCAACTTTCTGGTGGCAGGTAAGGCGTAGTTCCAATAAATGCGACACCTCCCATTTTCGACAACCGTTTCAATTTCTGTTGGTATATATGGTATTACTGCTTCCTTATCTATTGTGTATTATTATTATTATTATTGCTGCACCTCCTCAATGACAAACCAAACCTCATTTCCAAACTAATCGTAAGTGTAGCGATGATCGCTGTTAACCTTCTGTCATTCTACGAATCCAGACCGAGGAGGCTGAATCACTCCATGCAATTATATTTGCGTAAAAAACAAGATAGTTTCTGCGTCGCCATGAACCTCCATCAGGTGTTCCTCAGTGCAAAAACAAGAAGCGCCTCTGTCTGAGTACGTAGTTATGGCGGGCCATGAAGCGTGTCTAACGAGACGTTCAAAGGGGCCCTTGCAGCTTCAGAACAGCCTCAGCGACACTGTCTAATTAAATTTGTGACTCTAAGATCGTCGATTCATTTGCATAATAGAAAAATGGTCGCCTGTGCAGGGTGAACATGTCACGGATGGACTAACAAACTTGAAATCCATCACGTCGCTTCAGCTGCGAATCTTGATATACTTGCAGGGCTGGATCTAGAGTGTTCAGCAAAAGCGCTAGATTGGATTAGCTACATTGATTCCACTCGCTTTTGTTAACAACCGATTATCACACGACCTAAGCCTATTGTACAGTAGTAGCAATAATAGCAGTGCCTTTTAAGTTGATGCTTTAATAAGTTACCATGCTTCGACACAGAGCTTTTCATGCAGCTGTTTGCCTTAAGCCCGATACTTCGAAGTGGTAAGCGACATGTTATAGGTATGGGGTGGCGATCCACTTATACTTTTCACGTTGCCAGGTGTTGGCTGGGAGTCGCAGACCGAAAAGAGAACAAGTCGGAGTATACCTGAAACGAATAGAGACGAACAGTGTCGCCAGATGAGTCAGATGAGATTAAGTCATGTTAATATAATACATTCTATTGAAATGATATTACTCAATCTTCGCTTTTTTATGTTGTCTCACAGCCTCTCACCCGGCCTGCTGATCAATAGTAGTGAAATCGAGAGCTCATGATGCTCGTTTTGTCGTGGCGTAAACGTCATTTGCATAAGATATAGAGCTATAATAATTGTTGTTTGACAATGGCTACTTTCACACGGTTGAGAATAGGATAAAATGCCTCCAAAAATACTCACAGGGATTTATTGTTCCCCAAAAAAATGTCCCCGATAATTATACCCCTCAACAGTTCCCCGACCTGGGGTGTTAATTCAATTTTACAATTTTCAAAAGATCAAGCGGGTTTATGTAAGAGGATCCGAGGATATCCAAGAGTATATAATGCAATTTAAACTAAAGAAATCTGAGCGGAATTGATTTTCTTTTACATAGACTTGGTGTTCGGGTATCCCAGAGAGACCTTACCCAACAAAAGCAGTACAGGAGAAGTCTCAACTACATGAATTGTAAGTAGGCAGAGGCTTTCGTTTGTATTACATTAAAACAGTCTTGATGGTGATCCTTAAATGCCACAGCACCGCAATTATCCCGAACCAGTTAAATATACCATACTTTCAAAGATTTTAGAAAAATGATGTACAGGTATAGGCAGCTAATCGAGCACGACCGAAAATAACATTATATGCTTATATGTAGTTTGGTTGGGACCAGTATATCTGAAGAAAGTCCATTCTCATAATTGTATTCTTGATTCTCTAGAATCAGGAGAGTGACATCCTAAAGGTGGCTCATTGGAGCACCTGTTGTCTGTTACGAAACTGTCACCAACTGAGCTAAAGAGACGTGAAAGGAGAAGAGCAGCTCTGAGTCATACCTTTTGAACATACGTCTAAGGTTCTCCCATAAGGTAGTGATTCTCGAATATTCAGGATTAATCGTTAGTGGTCAATATGTAGGGAACACTTTTTCCTTAGCGGTCGAGCTCGTTATTACCGTCCATTTTTGGCAAGTAGATGGAAGAAAGAGAAATTAACAAAACAGGAACCTGTCGTGGAAGCATCGGCCAGATTAGGTAGATAAATCTTGATATAAGGAAACGTTTGCCATACATTTTGTACGTAACAAGATTTTTTTTCTGTACTTCTCCTTCCTTAGAAAACAAAAGGCCGCCCCTGTCCGAAACTTCACAAGCTGAAGGATTTCTTAATGAAATTTTCAGGAAGAAGCGAGGCAGGCAGAGCTACTTATATGCACTGCAGTATAAAAACTAAAAAAATATGCGAGAAGTGGAGCGCGGAACAAGATGAATAGTACATCATGAGCAAGCATGGAATGAATATTGTTTATTTTCTCATCCTGAGTACACTTGCGAGGGTTCTTCAGAGCAGCTGCTGTCGAAACAGACTAGAATTTCTAGGAAAATATAATATCCGACTAGAATAGGAAACCAAAGATTACAGTATTTTTGGTCTTGTGATAAGGATGTGAGATTAGATTATATTGCAGCAAGTGGTCACTATGGCTCATATGCATCTATTCTATTCTTTCGTATACACTGTCTAAAGCGGTGTATCCACGTCTGACCCTAAAAACAGACTTATATTTGACTTCACATCTAGCCCACTTTTGGATTCGTGATCTTAGCCTTGCTAGATCTTCTCAGTGATACAGCTTTCTTATACGACAGGAAGTATCTCCCCATCCGCTCGGAAAAATATTCCGATTCCTTCTTTATCAAGAATATGGATATCTCCCAGCCCAAAATTGCATCAAAATTGTTCGGACAATTTTGTTATCAAAATAAAAAAATAAATCAGTTCAGACAAGGCTTTTTTACGTTTTTATGTCATTATAAACAAAAAAGTTGAATTTTTCTCTGGAGTTTATAGTTTCCAAGGTCCATTATTTGAAAAAAAGCAAAATATGCCATTTTGGAAAACAATATGTTCAAACAGTATTCGTTGTGCTTTTCAACTTGAGAATGACTACCTTTGAAATAATTCTGATCTGTATATTTTATAACAAAGTGCTCCTTTTAAATTCGATTGCAGATCCTGTAACATGCCGTTGTGTTACTTTATGTTAACAATTAAGTCAACCTTTTCTGAAGTCGAATGTAAAGGCACCCCACTTCAAAATACGTCTCAATGATGTCGAGTCATGATTTTTAGGTGTGGCTGAACCCGCTTGGCTTTCACTTCTCCCTTGACGAAGCAGGATACGCAGTAACATACTGTGCTATCAACTATATAGAATTAAATATCAAAAAATCTAGAGGTACTGGCATATCGGAAAAAGTGTAAAAAACCATTTAAAGTTGACTACGATGCTTGACATATATAATATTAGTGGTAACATACTGTATGTTTCCCTCAATAGCTTCATATAATTATCAGTTTTACATAAAATAATGAATACTTATGTCGTTGAAAGCACAATTATTCCTTGCATGAAATGTCAACCAAAATGTAAACGTATCTCAGCTTATAGAGAAAGCAAGCGAACTGAGTAGGAGTGTTTAACGTTGCCAGATCTAAAAATGTAGTATAC